GCTTAACCCTAACCCTATGTGATGTCGGCTAAATGATCGTTCGGTGAAATGATTGTCGGTGAATCGAAGGGATCCCCGTTGAGACTATATTAAAAAAGAACGCATTTATAGAAAAGCAATATATACAATGCAATTATAAGCAGGGTCTAGCATTTAACGTTTGTGTTTTTTTTAGAAATGTAATGCGCAATATGTAAATTTTAACACAATAAATGCAACAGTAATAGATAAATAATGTATTATATATAATTATGCCGTGAAAATTTGTAATTATTCCTTTTGTCAGATGAGGTTAGGTTTGCTATTATAGTCAGACCTCAAAATGCAACGTGACTGGAGCATATGTAAAAAATCGGTCAACCGTGCATTTTTAGAGAGGAATTTCCAAAAATTTATTATTTGCGTATTTACTAAAATAGAGAATATGTTTAGATCTCCTGAATGCATAAAAGTTCTAAATGTAGCTTTTCTTTTACGCAATATATTTTTGTTATGCAGTTAGAGAATCTTTTTTTTAATTAATAACATTATCAGTCATAATAAAAATCTTTGTTTCTATATATACAATAGCTGCCCGACAAGTGAAAAAAATTTTTTTGAGCGCAATGAGCGCAAAATTTAGCTTGCGCAGCTATATCGATGTGCAAAAACCAACCAAATTTTAGTCCAGCGTAACACCAAACAAAAACGATTACTTCTAAGCGCTAAAAAATTGACCAATCAGATTAATTATAAAGCGGACGGTGTGACAAAAATTAGAATAGATAGATAGATAGATTAAAAAATTTTTTAAGAACATATAAAAAATTCTTGAGAACATTAAAAATTCAAAACTTGCTTTTTTGAGGACATAAAATCAAATTTGAATTTTAAATACTGACTGTAACTGCACATATCGATATCAAACTGGTAAATCTAATCTTTATTCAGGACAAGTGATGAAAAAAACAACTAATATTAATATAATTGATTCAAGTACAGCGGCAATAGTCGCACGATTAACTACTCACCCTCGTAAGCTCGTCGTTTTTTATGATTCAAGTGTTAAGAATTTATTAAAACCTTTTTGTTACTAATGTCATCTATTTTAATAAAAAGTTGACACGATTCGTGTACTTGCTCAAACTACTTTGTCAACGCCATCCTATTCTTATCCTTCTCTAACCTCAAATACTAAAATTTCACCTGGTAGTGCCAAAAATTTCTATTACTTTCTTAAGTCTACCATTCAAAAAAATCCAGTGATTCAAGTAATCTGTAGAACTCCTATCAAAAATTTATATAATGGTCTTCCAGTCGCTACTATCCTTGGTATCCCATCATTATCAACTTTTCTCTTCGTTTACGACACATCAAAGTACCACCTATCCTCCAACTTTAACATAGAAGATGACAGAATGTTAAATCATATTTTGAGTGGTACATTTGCAGAAATAATAAGTGGAATATTTTGGACACCTATGGAAGTTATTAAAAGTAAACTTCAAGCAAGTAATACAACTTCCCAATCTCGAGAAATCATTAAAAATGAATTTGAATCTCAAAAGAATATGATTGGTAAAAGGATTACGAGTTCATATGTAGGCATTGGAAATAACAATGTTAATACTCTTGAAATTTCAAAACGTATTTTTAAAGAGGAAGGTTTACGGGGTTTTTATAGAGGATATTTTATTACATTGGCTGTGTTCATCCCTCACTCAGTTACTTATTTCGTAATTTACGAAAAATGTAAAGCTTGGGGTCGTGCCAAATATCTAAAGAAGAATGAATTGTTGAGTACGACTTCGATCGATTTACCATTCTCAAGTTATTTACTCTATTCAGGCTTTTCATGTGCGATAGCTGCTTCAGTATCAAACATTTTAGATATTGTTAAAACTAGAACTCAGGTTTCTTCACATGAATCTATCACTATTGATAATACTGGTAAATTACATTCTATAAAAAACATTCCAAGGGAAATTATTAAAAATATGTATAAATATGAAGGTGGTCTAAGAGCATTTGCAAAAGGAATGGGTTCTAGAATTTTATGGGCAGTCCCTTCATCTTCCATTAGTATGGCTGTATTTGAGATTTTAAAAAATAGAAGGAATAAAATGAATTTAGAGAAGGTATAATTATTGCTTTTCTAAAAAAACAAACGTATATTATAATTTATTGTTATATGGAGTGTCTTCAATTAAAAGGGCCCATTTTTACAATTTTTCAAAAAATGAGTTTTTGTTAGATTCATATAA